GCCGGTATTTTGTTGTGCCCAAAAAAGATGGTGGTTTACGTCCGATTTTGGACTTACGTCGTCTAAATCTTGTGCTCCGAGTGAGCAAGTTCAAGATGCTAACAGTAAAGTCCATTCTGTCTCGATCCAATCCAAAGATTGGTTTGTAACCATCAATCTAAAGGATGCATACTTTCACATCCAGATCGTCAAGAGACACTGGAAGTTCCTCAGGTTTGCTTTCGAGGGCAAAGCGTACCAATATTGTGTTCTTCCGTTCGGACTAGCTTTGGCTCCTCGAACGTTTACAAAATGTAAGCCCCGTTGCGGCTCCAGGGCATCAGAATTCTGAACTACCTGGACAATTGGCTAATATTAGCTCTATCTCAGGATCAGGCACGGACACATCGATATCTGGTACTCGATCATCTGAGGAGCCTAGGGTTATGGACAAACCTACAAAAGAGTGTCCTGCTGCCGTGTCAGCAAACGACCTTTTTGGGGGTGGACTTGGACTCTTGCACGATGCGGGCACGACTGTCTCCCGCACGTGTGCAATCAATACAGACCTGTCTAGGTCAGTTCAAGACAGAGCAGATCAAGGTTCAAGGCTTTGGAAGTGGATCAACCAGCGCCTGGGAACGGAGGCTTTTGTGCAGGATTGCGCAATCTTCGCCACCGTCCCGCCGTCCCGTGTACGATCTTCTGCTGCCGCGCACCTGGTCCGGTTTCTTCCTGGACCGCGCCGCGACTCAAACATCGTCCGGCGTGACGTGAAAAACTACCGCCGCCATCACACGGAAGAAAGTTACAAGAGACGATAAGAAAATAATCCCGAAAAAGAGAGCGAGAGAGGAAGAAATGAACGACAAGCAGGAAGATTGTCCGGTAGTAAAGAGGCGACAGCTGACGATGGACGAAACCGACAATGGACCGTCGAACGCGCAAAACGTCATGGATCTCAGAGCTGGAAACCCGCGGATTAACGTCCTCCTCGACCGTCGCGCTGTTCCATCCGCGTTCTGAGTATGCTTTACGGTGGGTGGGGCTTGAAGGGCTTCCTGCTTAACAGGAAACTCAAAGGAGGTGTGGGCGGGGCTAGACGGCTGCAGGGGGCGGATCTTGTGCGCGTCATATTCCTCCAATCGGAGTCCAACGTGTTTGACCGACAGTCGAAGTTTAGGAAACTTCCCAAGCGTTTCTTCGCAATGGTTCCCTTGTTCGCTCGACTCTTACGGCAGCACAGGAAGTGCCCGTACACTCTCTTCCTGCGGAGGAAGTGCTCGGTGAATCTAGAGACGGAGGATATGGAGTCTTTGCTGAAGTCGCCTTACTTGGTGTATCTGTTCGTGAGGGAATGTTTGCGATACGTTGTTCCCGAGGAACTCTGGGGATCCCAGGAAAACCAGCTCCACTTCCTGTCCAACGTGAAGAACTTCCTGCGTCTTGGGAAATTTGAGCGTCTTCCATTGGTCCAGCTGATGTGGAAGATGAAGGTCAAGGCCTGCCATTGGCTGGGACTCAAGAAACGTGTGTTTTAACGCCTTTCGTAACTTTGGTTGTTTAAAGCCAAACAGATTGGATTTTTTTTTTTG